TAAAGTACTGGTAGATCTTGGCTGAGAATCCATTTGGTCCTAGCTTCCCTTTGTTGGAAGGCTTTTAATTGCTGCTTGAATTTCATTTTTTGATATTGCCAATTTAAGTTTACTATATCCTCTTGGTTTAATTTGAGTAGGTCATATCTGTTCTGTCTAGAAATTTGTCAGTGTCTTCTAGATTTTTCAGTTTATTGAAGTAAAAAATTTCACCGTAGTTTCTAATGATCCTCTGAATTTCAGCCCTTTTTGTGGTGATGAGTCTTTTTTCATGTCTGGTATTATTTATTTATGTCTTCTCTCTCTTGATTTGGGTTAATTTAGCTAAGGGGTTATCAATCTTATTTATATTTTCCAAGCACAAACTTGTTGTTACATTGATCCTTTGTGGGGTTTTTTAAAATAGATTTCATCTCTGATATTATTTTCTTTTTTCTACTGATTTTGACATTCATTTTGTTCTTCTTTTTCTTGGGCCTTGGTGTGTAATATTAGATAATTTATTTGGTATCTTTCTATTTTTTAATGTAGAAATGTAATGCTAAATGTAATGCTAGTTCCTCTTAGAACTGCCTTACCACTGTCTCAGAGGTTTTGACATGTTGTATATTTTTCCTCATTTGTTTCCAAGATGTGTTGAGTGGATGAGCCTCAGTTATCAGTTGATCCTGTGGTGTAGGCAAAAGCCAAGTCTAAGAAACATTACTTGCCAAAAGGCCAGGATGTAAACATCCTGTTGTAGTTGTTGTTTGTTTGATTGGTTTTTTTTTTTTTGGCATTAAGTTTTGTGAGTTGTTTGTATATCCTGCAGATTAATGCTCTATCAGAAGTGCAGCTGATGCTAATAGTTATCACATGTTTCAGTCAAATGGATTTTCTGGGTACAGCAAGACAATCACAGGATGTTCCTAACACTGTAACAGCAGGAGAGTTACAAAAATGTTTCTAGCTCTGTAACTTTTTGTGCACAAGAAGCCTCTTGATAATTCACAAGCCTTGAACAATTTTCAAGGCTTCTGTAGTTTAACTTTCTGATTATGAGACCCTAGGTAATAAACTTGCAGAGCTAGTTTGGGGTCTTAGTTTCTCCATCAGAGGGCAGTGTCACACCTGGCCCCAGCTTTTCTTAAAAAGTCTCTATTTTTCTTAATCTCCCATTGTACCTACTTGAGAAACTTTTTTGTTGATGCTGCATGAATCGCAGCACTAAGAATTTATTTTTTTTCTCCCCAGGTGTTAAAATGATTTCTGTATTTTATGTCGTTGATTTCTAATTTTATTCTACTGTGTTGTGATAAGATGCAAGAAATTATCTCTATTGTTTTGTATTTGCTAAGACTTGCTTTGTGCATGAAAAATATAGTTTATTTTAGAGAAAGTTCCATTTGTATCTGAAATTTCAGTGTGGTTTTAATTTGCATTTCTCTATTGATATGGATGCTGAACATTTTTTCATATATTTGTTGATGGATCATTTTTATTCTTCTGTGAAGTGTTTGCTAAATTCTTTGACCATTTATTGATTGGGCATTGGGGTTTTTGTTGTTGTTGTTTGTTCGATTGGGTTTGTTTGTTTGTTTGGGCATTAAGTTTTGTGAGGTTTGTATATCCTGGAGATTAATGCTCTAATTAGAAGTGCAGGTCACAAAGAGTTTGTCCCACTCTGTAGGTTCTCTCTTCACATTATTGATTGTTTCCCTTTCTGTAAAGAAGCTTTCTTAGTTGGATTCCATCCCATTTGTTGATTCTTGCTTTTACTTCTTGTGCTTTAGTGGATTTTTAAAAGTAAGTTGGTTCCTAAGCTGACACGATGAAGAGTTGAGCCTACATTTTCTTCTAGTAGGTGCAGGATCTCTGTTCTAATGCCTAAGTCTTTGATCCTCTTTGGGTTGAGTTTCATGCAGGGTGAGAGAGAGGGATTTAACTTCATTTTGCTATATATGGATTTCCAGTTTTCCTAGCACCACTTGTTGAAAAAGCTATCTTTTCTCCAATGTAGGTTTATGGTACCCTTGTCTGATATGAGATAACAATGTTTATGTGGGTTTGCTATGTGTCTTTTATTCTGTTCCATTGGGTTTCATGTCTGTTTTTTTTGTGTGTGTCAATACCATGCCATTTTTGTTACTATAGCTCTGTAATATAATTTAAGTTCTAGTATTGTGATGCCTCCTGTTTCACTTTTCTTGCTAAGGATTGCATTGGCTATTTTGGGTCTCTTACTTTTCCAAATGAATTTCATGACTGCTTTTTCTAGGTATGTGAATAACATCATTGGGATTTTAATAGAAACTGCATTACATGTATAGTGCTCTTGGCAGTATTGCCATTTTGACAATGTTAATTCTGACTATCCAAGAACAGGGGAGATCTTTCTATCTCCTAAGGTCTTCTTCAATTACTCTCTTCAGTGTTCTGTAGTTTTCATTGTGGAGGTCTTCCACCTCTTTCATCAGACTAATTCCCAAGTAATTTTTTGAGGCTATTGTAAATGGGGTAAGTTTTCTAGTTTCTCTTTCAGAGGATTTTTTTCACTGATGTACAGAAATGCCATTGATTTATGTGTGTTGGTTTTATATTCTGCTACTTTGTTGAATTCATTTATTAGTTCTAGAAGTTTTCTGGTGGAATTTTTTGGATCCTCTAAATTTAGAATTATGTCATTGGCAAATAGTGATAGTTTGAGTTCTTCTTTTCCCTTTCATATCCATTTAATTTCTTTTGTCTGTCTAACTGCTCTGACTAGATTTTCAAGAATTATGTTAAACAGAAGTGGTGAAAGAGGGCATCCTGTCTTATTCCAGTTTTAGAGGGAATGCTTTCAATTTTTCTCCATTTAGAATAATATTGGCTTTGGATTTAGCATATATAGCTTTTACAATGTTGAGGTATGTTCCTACTATCTCTAGATTTTCTAGTGTTTGAACATGAAGGGGTCTGTATTTTGTCAAATGCTTTTTCTGCATCTGTTGAGATGATCATATGATTCTTCTCTTTAAGACTATTATTATGATGAATTACATTTATTGATTTCTGTACATTGACTGAACCTTGCATGCCTGGGATGAACCCCACTTGATTGTGGTGCACTATCTTTTGAATATATTTTTCCACGTGACTTGCTGGAATTTTACTGAGAATTTTTTCCATCTATGTTCATCATGGATGTCTGAAGTTTTCTTTTCTTGATGTGTCTTTGTCTGATTTTGGTATCAGGGTGATACTAGCTTCATAGAATGAGTTTGAATGGTTCCCTCCTTTTCTCTTTCATGGAATAAATTGAGGAGGATTGGAGTTAATTCTTCTTTGAAGGTCTCGTAGAACTTGGCCAAGCAACCATCTGATCTTAGGCTTTTCTTAATTGTTAGGTTTTTTATGGTATCTTCTATTTCATTGCATGAAATTGGTCTGTTTAAATTGTGCATTTCTTCCTTATTCATTTTGGGTAGATTATATGTCTCTAGAAATTTGTCAATGTCCTCAAGATTTTCTATTTTATTGGGCTATAAATTTTCAAAATAGTTTCTGATTATCTTCTGTATTTCAGTAGTGTCCATCATGATATTTCCTTTTTCATCACAAATTTTAGGAATTTGAATTCTCTCTCTCTTTCTGTTTATTAGTGGGTTGAAGGCTTTATCAACTTTATTTATTTTTTCAAAGAACCAACTTTCTGTTTTGTCAATTTTTTAATTGTTCATTTTGTTTTAATTTCATTGATTTCAGTCTGATTTTAGTTATTTCCTATATTATACTGCTTTTGATGTTGACTTCATCTTTTTTTCCTAGAGCTTTCAGATGAAATGTTAAGACATTTATTCATTGACTTTCTATCCTTTTAATGAATGAGCTTGATGCAATGAACTTTCCTCTTAGCACTGCCTTTATAGTGTTCCAGAGATTTTGATATGCTGTACTGGTGTTCTCATTTATCTCTAAGTATTTTTCTATTTCATCCTTGATTTCTTCTGCTATCCATTTATCACTCAATAGCATATTTTAATCTCTAGGTGTTACAGTAGCTTCTATTTTTATTTTATCATTGATTTCTAATTTTATTCTATTATGATCTAATTGAATGCATGGTATTCTCATATTTGCTAAGAATTGCTTTGTGGCCATTTTAGAGAAGAATCCATGTGCTGCTGAGAAGAAAGTATATTCATTTCTCAATAGATGAAACATTTCACATATGTCTGTTAAGTCTAAATTATTGACTGTGTTATTTAGTTCTACAGTTTCTTTGTTTATTTTTTGTTTGGAGGATCTATCCAATAGTGAAAGGGGTGTGTTAAAGTCACCCAATATTATTGCATTGTGGTCTATTTGATTCTTGAAATTGAGAAGGGTTTTATTTGATGTATGTAGATGCTCTATTGTTTGGGAGATAGATATTTATGATTGTTTTGTCTTCCTGATATATAATTCCTTTAAGCCGTATGAAACATCATTCTTTGTCCCTTCTGACTATCTTTGGCTTGAAGTTCAATAATCTGATATGAGGATAGAAACCCCTGCTTGTTTATGCAATCCTTTTGAGTAATGTTTTTTCCATCCTTTCACCTTCAGGATATGAATATCTTTAACTATGAGGTGAATGTGGGGAGCCACCTCTGAGCTATTTGAACATCTTCACTTGACCTTGAGCCAAGGAGATTTTGGTTTAGCATTGCAAGCTATTTTATGGCTCCTCCCACTTAATGGATTGTACAATGCACTGACATCTGTCTTCACACGGCTAAGGAGACCAATCTGGCAGCTCCAGAATTGGGCATATCCCATTGGGACTGGACAGCCCACCTCCTACCTTATTTGACAGAAGTACATTCTATGGAAAACCTTTGAAGTTTTCCCCAATATAATAAAGCAAACGTGGGGTCTTGTTCTCTCTCTCTCTTTCCAGTATGGAAGCTTGACCCCTAAGGTAGAGGGCTGTCCTGTCCTTACTTTCTAAAATTACTTTCTGTGTTATGGATTTTTTCACCATTTTCTTTTCTCAGATTTATTTAGCAGCTAGCCTGAATCATGCAGAAGAAACCCAAATTCCACTGCCCACATGGGACATGGGTGAGAGGTGAGTCTCTTGGTTTATGTTCATATTGTTGTGTCTTGTTGTTTAATCCAATCTGTCAGACTATGTTTTTGATAGATGAGCTTAGGCCATTTACATTCAGTGTTATTATTGAGATATTATTTGTATCCCCAGTCATTTTTGTTTATTTCTGGTTTTAAATTTGAATTAATTTCTCCTTTGGTTGACTGTTTCTTTAGTGTAGCTCCTCCCTTTGCTCGTTTTCACTTTTATTTTTCATTTCTTCCTTGTGAAATATTTTGCCAAGAATGTTCTCTAGTGTAGGCTTTCTAGCTGTGAATTCTTTTAACTTTTGTTTATCATGGAAGGTTTTTATTTCATCTTCAATTCTGAAGCTTAACTTTTCTGGGTACAGTATTCTTGGCTGGCATCCATTTTCTTTCAGAGCTTGGTACATATTATTCCAAGACCTCTTAGCTTTGAGGTTCTGAAAGAACTGAGAAATCAGCTCTAAACATAATGTGTCATTTTTCCTCTGGCAGCCTTTAAAGTTCTATCCTAATTTTGTATGGAGGCATTTTTATAATGATGTGCATTGGTGTTGGGCTGTTGCAATTTTGTATACTTGGGGTCCTATATGCTTCCTGTATTTAATTTTCCATTTCATTCTTTAGGCTGTGATGAGACAGAAGTCTTGACTATAGTGACTCCATTTTGTTTAGTAACTCCATTGTGTGAAACAGCCATGCCAACTAAAAAAGGTCATGACTGGGGCAAGTTGTTTTACCTTTTGTTGTGGAAACCCTCAAGAACATGGAACTATCTAACCGCAATCTCCTGTTTCTGTAACTGGGGTAACTGGGCTTATTTTGATTGGCTAAGCCTCCTGCCACCTGGCTGCACTCTCCTGCTTCTGTAACTTGGCTTGCTTGCATTGGCTAAACCCCCAAATGTCCCTTTTGTGGTTTTTTGGCTTAAATATGTGGCCAAACTGAAGGGGGGGTGTCACTCTGACTATCTCGCTTTTAGAGAGCAGAGTGTCTGCTGCTGGACAGCAACAAAGGATTAATTGGAATGGCAATGTGTGGTCTGAGAGTTATTCGAGGGTCTCGGTTTTGGTATCACAAGGTTTGAGAAATTTTCTGATATTAATTCATTGAAAACATTGTGCATTCCTGTGGTTGGTATCTCTGTGCCTTCATCAATACCAATAAATCTTAAATTTGGTCTTTTTCATGTTATCCCATATTTCTTGCAAGTTCTGTTCATGGTCTCTTAACCTCTTTATTCCATGGTCAAATTTATTTTCAAGATTATACATTTTTCTTCATTGCCTGAAACTCTGCCTTCCAAGTGATCTAGTCTGTTGTTCATGCTTTCCACTGAATTTTTAATTTGGTTTGTTGATGACTGCATTTCGGATTTCTGCTAGGTTTCTTTTCAGAATCTATTTCTCTTTATTGAAATGATCTTTCACTTCCTGTATTTTCTCTTATTTTACTCCATACATCATTCTTTACTTAATCAGTTTAACTATGTGTATTCTAAACTCCTTCTTTGATATTTCTTCCATGGTGATGTCAATGGATTCTATTATTGGAGCACCTTGATTTGTTCAAGGTGATTTGTTCCCATGTTTTTTTCATGTTGTTTGTGTGCCTACCCATCTAGCAGAATAGATCTGAAGCAGTACAGCTTGTACATGTAGACTTATAACATCCTGAGGGTTTACAGCACCTTGCACTTAAGAGGGAGACAAATAATAACAGCAACAATGCAAACAATATACAGCCTTAAACCAAATAGCTCCTGATAAGACATCTAGAGGGTTTGGGGGTTTTTGGTTTTTTTTTTTTTTTTTTTTTTGCAACAAACAGAAGTGATATGTTCAGTTATTGCCTACAATAAAAACCAGTAAGATTGTAAAAGGGTTTACAAGTTTTAATGGTGGACAAGGAGAAACAAAAAGGGGTATAAATGTGATGATTATGAGGAAGGATGAGAGAAAATGGAAGTAAAAATCAAAGGAAGAAAAGAGAGAAAGAGATTCAAGGGAAATGGAGAAGTGAGATGTGTGTGTGGGGGGGTGTGTTTAAACTTTAAAAATTTAAACTAGAAAGAAAAAAAGTAAAAAATTAAAGGAAATTAAATAAAATGGAAATATTCTAATTAGACATTCTAGTCCTCAATAAGTGATGCATGGAAAATAATTGATTTCAAAAGTTGTAGAAATGTGAGAGAAAAAAAAGATAAGAAAAAGATGTTCTCTATGAAAATTATTTTGTGTTATCATAAAAACAAGGTTACTATAAATTAAAAGTCCCAATATGTATGATTCTACATACAAGGAGTAAAGAGGTTGCAACTCCATTTCAATTAAAGTACTGTAAATAACAAAATATTTCATCTCATTAAAATGTATTAATTTATCTAAATTCAGAAATTTATAAGAGTGATTTCAAGGTATAAATAGAGAAAAAGGATCAATGGATTAAAAATTATTAAAAGGTTCTAAATATAAAAATATATTTAGCAAAAATATGTTCCCAGGTTAAAAAGTCTTTATATGGTAAAGTATATTTACAATACATCTAAGTAAACAACAAAAGGGTCTAATTAAGTAATATAAAGGTCTATAAATAAAAGATAAATATTAAGAGGTTTATATGTAACTACATTGGTTATATATATAACACAAATAGTTTAAACTATTAAAGTTCATTCCCTAAGGAAAAATATTAATGTACTGATATATTTATATGTTAAAATGACAAAAACTTCTAAATATTAATTACATTATGTCTGTTAAATTTTATTCTCTAGAGCAACTAATCTTTGAGAAATTAAGGTTTGTACATCTGTGGTTAAACAGCAAATGTTATTTTAAAGTATTGTCCTACATTACAGAGTCTATATTTTTCTTTAAAAGCTAACCTTGGTTAATATAAAAACATCAATAAAAGTGTGGCACATTACTCTTCTTTACAGATTAAATGTGTTCATCAGGTATACAAGTCTTTAAGATAAAAGGTTTAAAGAAACATTTTATCAAGCTAGTGTTCTCCAAACTAAAGTTGTGTGTAATGGTAATTATATGTCGCAACCCCTTGCCCGCAAGGAAGACGCAACTCAGGAATCTTCTTTCAGCAGTTTATTCAGGCCCTTGATATTTCTTCTTCTCCCTCTCGGATGCCCCTCCCAGCCTTAATAAAGCATCTCAAGCCCCAATGCGAAGCTGCCACGTGGAGCTTTCTCATAGGGTGGTGAAAAACCATGCGCCAACTCTCCCAAATAAGGAGTTGTTTGTCACAGACCACAGCGGAGCCAGCGCCATCTTGTAATGGCGACCATAGTCTGCAGAAACGGCAGAAGCGGCTCACCACAATTATAAACTTATAAGGATAATGGATTTTATTGGGGATTTATTTATATTATTTGATGTTTTGTAACCAAACCGTATATTACCGTTTACATTGAGATATAAAAATTTAAAGGTATTTGTTGGAGGCCTCGACCAAGTCAAGATGGCCTCTGGCAGTTTGCCAGGAGGAGTGGCTTGTGAGGCAATGCCACCGAGCCATCAAGATGGTGAGGACTCCTTATTGGCTGATTACTGTATCTGTAGGGGAGCAATGCTATGATTGGATGATGCTGATTGAGCCATGCTTTATGTAAATCAGTTAGATACATATACCTCTGCTGTTCCGCAATAAAGCAGTTCCTGCTTCAACCTTCGTAGTTGCTTGTCACATCTCAGTTACTTTGCCCAGCTGGACTGTGGCAAGTGGTGGCCCATACAGGGAACTCTGGGATGCTCAGGGGTAAGTGACAAGGTAAGCTGCCTGTCCCTAGAAATAGATAAGATGGGAGGAAAGCTGCTCGCCCCTGAGGAGCAGATAGGGCAAGAGGATGGATGGCCATTTCAAGAAAATAGAAAAATTGACGCAGTGTGTTTTTGTTTTGTTTTGTTTCGTTTTATCTTAGTGTATTGTGTTGTCTTTGTTATGGAAATTTGGGATCAATAGTTAGTAAAAATCAAACCGAAAGCGTGTTAAGTAAATTGCTAAAGGAAGGAGGCACCCCAGTAAAACCAAGAACAGTTAGGGCATACGTTGATATGATACAAAAATGTAGCCCATGGATCTTAGAGGAGGGGTTGTTAAATATATCACAATGGGACCATCATGGTGAAAACTTTAAAAAGATAGAAAAGAAAAGCCCAGGAACTCTGCCAGTCAGCACATTACCATTATGGATGTTGTACGATCTTGTTTGCTTAGTCCAAAGCCTTCAGTTTGAAAGAACCACAGATCTCAAACCTGGAACGAACCACACGAGACACTGGCTGCAAGAAGCAAGAGGCTGTTTATTCGTACACAGGCGCCTGCGGGTGCTGAGTGGAACCTCAGCCGGAGCTTTGGTGACTGGCACCCCGGGCTCTAGGGCACAGATCTTTTATAGGGAACAGGGGGTTAGTTTTTAGCTTAGCACAGCAATAGTTATTCTATTGGTTCCTCTGAATCCAGCCTTTAGGTCACCTGGGGGGTAAACTTGTTTTTCCACTTTAGTTCTCGGAAAAACCATAAAATTGCATCCTGTCCTTTTAGTTCCTGTTTTTACCCTGTTTAGTTCCTGTTTTTACCCTGTTTGCTCAAGTTTGGCCCTTCCGGGGTTATCTATATGGAACATCTTGTGGTAGCATTGTGCAAGACTTGAAGTGCTACGTGCAGCTGGTGGGGTTTTGACATGGGGGTTGTGTAAGGGAACATTTTGCAGCTTCAGGGCACAGGGGTTAGATTTCCTAATGTTGGGCCTGGGGCCTTGGGGTCCTTCATTTCCCCCTTTTCTATATCATGGATATAATCTTATATCCATTGACCCATGTGCTCAGATTCCAGCATTGTCTCAGCTGATGGCTCAGCATGTTGTTGGAGTAACTGATATTGCTGAGTGAGAACCATAGTTTGGATTACGGATAGTCTTTCTTTTATAAACTGCATTAATCTGTTAAATATGCAGGGTCCAAATGTTAAAATCAACAGCAATACAATCAAGGGGCCGGCTACAGTGGATAATACAGTAGTTAACCAAGGGGACTTGTTAAACCAGCTTTCAAACCAACTTTGGGAGCCTTGCAGGGACTTTTCTCTTGCATCTAGTCTTTCTCTGAGCTTTGTCATGGACTCCCTTACTACCCCTGTGTGATCTGTGTAAAAGCAACAGTTTTCTTTTAAGGCAGCACAAAGTCCTCCTTCCTTTAAGAATAATAAGTCTAGCCCCCGTCTATTCTGTAATACCACCTCTGATAAGGAGGTTAAGGATTTTTCCAATGCGGTTACAGAGGTTTCTATTGCTCTCAGGTCTTGTTGTATTTCTAGGATCCCCAGCTGTCTAGGGCCTTCAATCAGAGCTGCAGCCCCAGTTCCAACCCCTGCCAACATTCCTGCCCCCAGCAAAACTGCCAGGGTAATGCTGATAGGCTCTCGGGTGAATCGAGTCCTGCCCATGAAATGTCCTTCAAATTCTTCTGTGGAATAATAGAGTAGCCTTGGATAGATCTGGACTAACACACAAAAATCCTTAGACTGGTTAAAGGTAGCTACCGCGACACATGGAGTAATCCCGGTGTTACATGCCCAGTAAAGACCTGGCGAGGGCACTATGTATTTGGACATATCAGAGGATGACACATTTACAGTGCGTGTACAGAGTTCATTCTTCCCCAATATAGAGGAGCCCCCTAGGCATGTTCCTGAACCAGTTACTTCAGGCAAAGTCAACATGTGTCTTGTTCCCCAGTTGCAACTGGTGGGAGCATCGTAGGTAAAACTCCCGTTAACAGCTACCCCTTCATAGTAGGGGGGGCTTGCCTGTAGGCAAATCCAGCAGGACTCAGTAAGATTGGGCTGGGTGGAATTAAGGGCTTGATATCCCCCTTCAACTAGGTCTATCAGTCTTTTTCCTGACCCTGATAGTGTAGAACTTGTGGCAATCTGCACGATTGGGGAAATGGGGGGGCTTGGATAGGTAGATTTAGATGGGGGCGTTGGCCTTGGGGGTGCCGGTTTCGGCCTTGGGGTTGCCGGTTTCAGCCTTGGGGTTGCTGGTTTGTATCTTTTAGGAGGAGGAGTATATCTTTTAGGAGGAGGAGCCTTTTGATCCCAGAGTACCTCATTAGGGCCTACTGGTTGGGGGTCGGTATTCACTATTAATCTAATTTTGAATAGGACCCCAGGGTCATAGGCAGTCTGGTGATATACTCTTAGGCCCCATAGCCTTCCTTTTATCCAATCCTTTGATATTTTGCCTGCCTGAGTAAAGGTGATGTTTAAGGGGTTGCAGGCAAATGCGGTACATGGCCCTTCCCCGTACCATAAAGTTTTGACTGTCCCAGGCTTACTCTTACAATAGTCGGTGGAGAGTGGGGGCTCATTTTGCTTTTCTCTTTTTACTTGTATTAAATCCCAAGATGAGCTTGGCTTCCACCATGCTTCCCCAGTAGTTTCACATCCCCAAGCCCCACAATAGTAATATTCGTATTGCCCACATAGATCTCCCGTCCCTAGGGCATACGTAGAAGGATTTCTTTCTTAGAGCTGCTTGAGCTCTCGGGTCCCTACACCCTGCTGGATAACGGGAGCAGGGGCAGTGTCCACTGGTGGTGCACACTTCTGGACCTGGTTTAGCCGGGCCAGTAGCCGGGATATCAAAGTCGTCTGCTCCAGCCAGCAGGTGACAAAGATCAGGGTCTAGGGTAGGCCACCAAGCCCAAAGGGGGTATTTTGTGGAAGTTTTTTCCCAAACTATATCTCCTGTCCCCGATATTACTTGCCATGTCTGGCTCACAGGCTGGTTGGGGTTATAGGCGGCTGATATGGGGAAGATAAAGCACAAAGCAAGAAAAATCAACAGCGAGTGAGTCTTATCTTTAGCGGATTTTGGGTGCGTTGTAGCTTCCATTCTGGATCCGGAGAGTTATCTGCGGACTCCCGTGGATGTGCAGTCTTCACGTGGGACGCATGGATCCAAGCAGCAATGCCGTCCACTTTGATTGCAGTAGGAGTGGTCAGCAGAATGGTGTAGGGTCCTTTCCACCGCGGTTCGAGGTTCTTGCTCTGGTGTCTGCATACCCAGACGGTATCTCCGACCTTGAAGGGATGTGGTAGCTAGGGGGTTTTAAGTTCCTCTTTGTATGCTGCGGCTAGAGGCTTCCAGACCTCGTTCTGGACCAATTGCAAGGCACGTAAATGAGTCTGCATAGATGGGGTGAGGGAGGCATAAGTTTCAGTTTCATAAAAGTTAACAGCGGGTGGTGGGGCACCGTACAGGATTTCAAATGGAGTTAGTCCCTGTGGGCCTGGGGTGTTTCGGGCCCGATACAAGGCTAAAGGTAGGAGTTGTACCCAGTCTCTAGTGCCAGTTTCAAGCGTTAATTTAGTTAAAGTCTCCTTAATGGTTGTATTCATCCTTTCTACCTGTCCTGAACTTTGGGGTCTATAAGCACAGTGTAATTTCCAATTAATCCCCAATGTATTGGCCACCATCTGACTTACCTGGGAGATGAAGGCAGGCCCATTATCCGACCCAATTGTCCCGGGTACCCCATACCTTGGAAAGATTTCTTCCAATAGCTTCTTAGCAACGGTTTTGGCAGTTTCATGTCGGGTGGGGAACGCTTCGACCCATCCGGAAAAAGTATCAACGAAGACTAGAAGATATTTATATCCATACATACCAGGTTTGACTTCAGTGAAATCTATTTCCCAATGTGTCCCGGGTTTATGTCCTCGAACCCGGACTCCTGTTCCAAGTTTGACTTTACCAGCATTTACCTGGGCACAGGCCTGACAATTTTCTGCAACCCGCTGGAGGAGTCGATCCCTATTTGGAAGATGTAGAGTACCCTCTCCACGTTCTAAGAGTTCTTTCATCTCTTTAGCCCCAAGATGTGTCAGTCTGTGTAGGGACTTCACCAGTTGTTTTGCATTTTTGAGGGGCATGATCGTCTTTCCCTGGTATTTCCAGGTATTTTCTTCTGGGTTGTAAGTGGCCCCCAGTTTCTGTATGACACTTAAATCTTGGTCCTCATAGACCCATTGTTCCTCATGGTCATCATGTTGTGGGTCTGCTCGTTGGGGCAATAGAGTCATTATCAGAAGTAGTGGCCCTAGGGCGGCCTTTTTAGCGGTCTCATCTGCTAATCTGTTTCCTCTGGCCTCTGGAGTATCCCCTTTCTGATGGCCGGGACAATGCATGATACTTAACTTTTTAGGTAAAAATAAAGCTTTAAGCAAAGCTAATATTTCAGTCTTATTTTTGATTTCTTTCCCCTCTGAGGTCAGTAATCCCCGTCGCCTGTAAATTTCTCCATGTATATGAGCCGTGGCAAAGGCATATCTGCTGTCTGTGTATATGTTTAGTTTCTTCCCCTCTGCCAACTTCAAGGCTTGAGTCAGAGCTATCAGTTCTGCCCGCTGAGCTGATGTCCCGCCCGGAAGTGCACTCGCCCATATTACCTCAGATTCGGTGGTGATGGCTGCTCCCGCTCGTCGTTCTCCATTGAGCAGATAACTGCTTCCATCCGTGTACCAAACTAGCTCCGCATCTTTCATTGGTTGGTCTGTGAGGTCTGGCTGGGTCCCCTGTGTCTCTGCAAGAATCTGCTGGCAGTTGTGAGGATCGGCTTCTCCTGGGAGCGGCAGGAGGGTTGCTGGATTCAGGGTCACCATGGGGCCAAACTGAATTCGGTCAGTGTCCAACAACAGAGACTGGTAATGGGTGAGTCGGGCGTTTGACATCCAGCGATCGGGTGGCTGGCGAATTATGGTCTCAATGGCATGAGGGGTTAATAGGGTTAATGGCTGTCCCAAAGTCAGTTTAGTGGCATCCTTAATCAGAAGGGCCACAGCCGCTATCATCCGGAGGCATGGTGGCCATCCTGCTGCCACTGGATCTAATTTCTTTGACAGGTAGGCTATCGGTCGCCTCCAGGGCCCCAGCTTTTGGGTTAAAACCCCTTTTGCATAACCCTGTTTTTCATCTACAAATAGATCAAAAGGCTTGGTAATGTCCGGTAGGCCCAAGGCGGGGGCAGACAGAAGAGCCAATTTAAGGTGATCAAATGCCAACTGATGCTCCTTAGTCCAGGTAAAGGAGTTACCTTGTTTAGTCAGTAGATACAAGGGGGCTGCTATCTCAGCAAACCCAGGAATCCAGAGTCTACAGAAACCGGCGGTCCCTAGAAATTCCTGCAGCTGCTTGGGGCTCTGGGGGGCTGGTATACTCGAGATAGTCTCTTTTCTGGCAGCTGTCAACCAGCGTTGACCATCATGGAGTTCATAGCCAAGATAGGTAACTTTTGTCTGACAGATTTGGGCCTTTTTTGCTGACGCCCGGTACCCTAATAGTCCCAAAGTTTGCAATAATTCCTCCGTACCTGTTAGGCAATCTTCCTTGGAGGCTGCAGCCAGCAAGATGTCATCTACATATTGAAGCAGGATTAAGGAAGGGTGTCTTACACGAAAATCGGCCAAATCCTGATGCAAGGCCTCATCGAAGAGTGTTGGGCTGTTTTTAAATCCTTGTGGCAGTCTCGTCCAGGTCAGTTGTCCAGAGACTCCTTCCTCTGGATCCTTCCATTCGAATGCAAAAAGAGCCTGACTTTGGGGAGACAGTCTTAGGCAGAAGAAGGCATCTTTTAGATCCAGAACAGTATACCAAGTATGGCTAGGAGGCAAGGTGCTGAGGAGATTGTAAGGATTTGGCACTGTGGGGTGAATATCTTCTACCCTCTTGTTAACCTCCCTTAAGTCTTGGACCGGTCAGTAATCATTAGTTCCCGGCTTTTTGATGGGCAGCAATGGAGTGTTCCAGGGCGACCGGCAAGATGTTAGAATGCCTTGGTCTAGGAGGCGTTTGATATGTGGTTTGATGCCCTGATAGGTCTCCCTTGACATAGGATATTGTTTAATACTGATGGGAGTAGCAGTGGCTTTTAGGTGAACGACTATTGGAGATTGTTGTTTAGCCATTCCCATTCCTCCAGTTTCAGCCCAGGCCTCCGGGTAAGAACTAAGCCAATAGTTCATATCTTTCATAGGTACAGAAGGTTTGTCAAACAGTTTATATTCGTCTTCCAATTTGAAAGTCAATATATGTAAGGGGGTCTGGTTTGGCCCTGTGATGGAGGCACTCCCATCTTTAAAATAAATTTGGGCTCTCAACTTGGTCAATAAGTCTCTTCCTAGTAGTGGATACGGACAATCAGGCACATGTAGAAACGAATGGGAAACCTTACCTGTGGCAAGGTGTACTTCTCTTTTGGTGGTCCATCGGTATGGTTTGCTCCCGGTGGCACCTTGAACCCATGTCGTTTTGTGGCTCATGGGCCCTGGTGCTTGCGTTAGCACCGAGTGTTGGGCTCCTGTATCCACTAGGAAGGTCACAGGTTGCCCCCCTACTTGCAGAGTTACCCGGGGCTCAGGGGGGAGCTCCTGGCCCTGACTCCCCTAGTCTTTGTCTAAGGCTAGCAGTTGGGGGGTCCGATTTGTACCTCTTCTGGGGTTGGGGGGTCTCCTTGGGCAGTCTTTTACCCAGTGTCCTTTTTCCTTGCAGTAGGCACATTGGTCTCGGTCTACACGGGGTTTGCTCCGTTCCCTGTCCCTGTTTATCTTGTCTCCCTGCTGTCCTGCCTGAACTACAGTGGCCAATATTTTTTTCAGTTCCCTGTTACACCTCCGGTCTTTCTCTCTCTCTCTCTTATCTGATTCTTCCCTAAGCTTAAGGTCTCGTTCTTCTTGCATCTTTATAATCCTATCTTCTCGTTCTTCTGGAGTTTCTCTTTTGTTAAATATCTTCTCAGCTTCCTTCAGTAAATCTGCTAGAGAAAAATCCTGTAGGTTATCTAATCTTTGCAATTTAGTTCTGATGTCTGGGGCGGACTGCCAAATAAAAGCCATAGAAATGTTTCCTTTCTGGTCCTCACTATCAGGATCAAAGGGAGTAAACCTCCGATAAGCCTCTTTTAATCTCTCTAAGAAGGCTGTTGGAGTTTCCTCTGACCCCTGGATAGTCTGTCTTACCTGAGCCAAATTGGTGGGCCGTCGCCCTGCTCCATGGAAACCCGCTATGAGTAACTGGCGATAGAGACGTAGGTGGTTCCTACCTGCTTCAGTCGCATAGTCCCAGTTTGGCCGGGTTAAAGGAAAAGCTTTGTTAATCAAATTTGGGAGTTGGGTGGGGTGCCCGTCGTCCCCTGGCACATTTTTGCGAGCTTCCAAGAGAACCTTTTGTTTCTCCTCTGAAGTGAGGAGTATCTGTAAGAGCTGCTGGCAATCATCCCATGTTGGCTGGTGAGTTACTAGAATAGACTCAATCAAAGAAGTTAGAGCTATAGGGTCCTTAGTAAAGGAAGGGTTATGGGTTTTCCAGTTATAGAGGTCAGAGGCAGAGAAAGGCCAGTACTGATATTGGCCATTGGGGCCCCCTGTTTGTCGTAGGGGGAGGACTTTAGAGGTGTCCCCCGAGGCAGTGTGGTCTCGACGTCCCCGGAGTCGTCCCACCATGGGAGATGGATCCGGGGGAGCACTGGCAGTTGGGCCCTCCTGGTTGTTTTCCTCCTCTGAGGATTGTTGATCAGGTTCAGGGGCTTGTAAGGGTTGGGGCTGGTAAGGAGGAGGCTCGTCAGTCAGCAGGTCAATCAGAGTTGAGTCTTCTGGCGGCAGAACCTTCTTTGGCGTTGCCCCTGATTTAATTAAGGTCTCAGATTTGTTAAGAATGGGGTAAAGTTGAGAGGTTTGAGAAGGGGGAGGGGGAACGGGGATGAGGGGAGCAGAAGGTTCAAGGGGTTTGGGTGGAGAAAAAGGAACCACCCAAGGGGGTGGATTGGAGGTTAGATCTTCCCAGGTGACAATATAGGGTACCTGGTTGGGGTGTCCATGAGGACCGTGGGTAAAGATTCGGGATTTCACCTGTAAGATAAGATTAATGTTAAAGGTCCCTTCTGCCTGCCAGCCAGTGTTGAAGGCTGGCCATTCTGAGGTGCAGAGTGTTTTCCATTTCTTTTTCTTGATTGTCACGGACAGGTTGTTTGCCCGATCTTGAACATCTTGCCGATGATCTAGAGTGAGGCTCAAAGGGGTGGTCAGTGAGTGCCCCATGTTAATTGTAGAGAGAAAGTAAAGAGACAGACACAAAGACGAGACCGAACAGGAAGAGCGCTGCGCGGCTTCGGTGGAAACCGAAAGTATCAGACGGCCTGGGAGAAGTACGGGTTTCTCCATTGCCTACAAAGACAGTGTATCCCTCGGAAACACTAGGGGCCCCAAAGAAACGGGCCCCTCTGATCCCTGGGACGTCTCCCAGGGTGGCAGGGGAGAAGTCTGAGTTCGTCAACTCCTTCTCAAGCTGCCTCAAAATACTGGATGACTATGCATAGTCTTACAGATGCTGCACAAGACACTGAACATTAAACCAACAAAACAGAGAGCTCGAGCTGGCCGGCTTACCTCCCAGTGATGTCGGGTGTCCTCTGGATAGGATCTGGGTTGGAACTGGGATCCTGGATCTCAGTGGAACCTCCAAAATGAAAGAACCACAGATCTCAAACCTGGAACAAACCACACAAGACACTGGCTGCAAGAAGCAAGAGGCTGTTTATTCGTACACAGGCGCCTGCGGGTGCTGAGTGGAACCTCAGCCGGAGCTTTGGTGACTGGCACCCCGGGCTCTAGGGCACAGATCTTTTATAGGGAACAGGGGGTTAGTTTTTAGCTTAGCACAGCAATAGTTATTCTATTGGTTCCTCTGAATCCAGCCTTTAGGTCACCTGGGGGGTAAACTTGTTTTTCCACTTTAGTTCTCGGAAAAACCATAAAATTGCATCCTGTCCTTTTAGTTCCTGTTTTTACCCTGTTTAGTTCCTGTTTTTACCCTGTTTGCTCAAGTTTGGCCCTTCCGGGGTTATCTATATGGAACATCTTGTGGTAGCATTGTGCAAGACTTGAAGTGCTACGTGCAGCTGGTGGGGTTTTGACATGGGGGTTGTGTAAGGGAACATTTTGCAGCTTCAGGGCACAGGGGTTAGATTTCCTAATGTTGGGCCTGGGGCCTTGGGGTCCTTCAAGTTCAGACTATAATAGAGGAAGGAGAAGATATCTTAGATCAAGTAAAAGAGGAAGTCTCTCAAGCTAGTCAGAAAGGGGAAGAAAGTTCAGAAGAGGAAGGACTATCAGGGGAGGAATTATAACAAAAGGCTGCTACTAACCCCTTTCTATCACCAGAGGGCATAAGTATTCAACCAACAGCTCCACCTATGTATATGGGGACTACATATGCTGGGTGGGCCCCACCCCCCATAGTTGATAGATGGGATCCTGAGATAGGACCTCGAAGATTAGCATGCCCTGTACTTCAGGATGCGGGAGGGCAGCGATATCACCAGGCTTTGGATTTTAAAACTTGTAAAGCAGTTAAAAGAAGCTGTAGCAGCCTATGGTCCTCAAGCCCCTTTTACTGTAAGCATGGTTGAATCCATTGCAAGTTTAAACTTGACACCAGCAGATTGGGCTAGCATGTGCAAAGCTGTGATAAATGGAGGACAATATCTGTTATGGAAAGTTACTAATCAGGAATTGTGTGTGGAGACTGCCAAGCAAAATGCAGCAGCCAGGTATCCACAGAGAAATTTAGACATGTTACTAGGAGAAGGGTCTTATGAGGGTCAACAACAACAAGCTGGATATGATCCTGCTATATATTTACAGATTGCTTCAGCTGCAGTTAAGGCATGGAAAACCCTACAAGGAAAGGGGATTTACAATGTCAGCTATCTAAGGTGATACAAGGAGCCAATGAGCCTTATGCTGAGTTTGTGGGTAGGCTTATGCAAACAGCAAACAGAGTCTTTGGGGATGTAGAACAAGTGATGCCATTAATAAGACAACTAGCTTGTGAACAAGCCAATAGATGGTGTAGGGAGGCTATTCGACCTTGGAAACATAAAGACTTAAATGCATACATTAAATTGTGTAGAGATATTAATGAATCAGTGGTACAGGGGCAAGTCTTGGCAGCTGCAGTAATGCAAGGAGTACAACAGGCTTTAGGTGCCAGGCCAAAAACATGTTATAATTGTGGTCAAGCAGGACATTTTAAAAGGAGTTGCCCCATAGGAGGATGCTGAGAGCCATAGCCAAGTAGGAATGACACATGGCATTTTTGGTTGAAAGGTGACCCCAGCAAGCCATTGAGATGATAATGATTATGTTAAGATGTGCATTCAATTGGAGGTTAGATCCCTGCTGTCTGCCTAGGCCTGCTACTTTGGAGCTCTTGCAGGACTACCAGAGAGTTCCCATTGGTTGGGGAAGTGCAGTAGGAGGGAATTCTGGAGGAGGGATTTCCTGTTGGAGTAGTGTGTCCCGGGATGAGCCACGTGGCGTGGCGTTCGGCATTTTTACTGGGAGCGTGTGTGGAGTGTGCTGATGGAGTTCAGAAATAAAGTTTGTTCCTGCTTCAGTGGCTCATGATTTGTGCCCAGCCAGACTGTGGCATTTGGCGGCCTGAAGCTCGGGGGTAAGTGAAATTGCTCACCCCTGAGGGAAGGCGAGAGAATGGGTGACCATTTCAAAAAACAATGTGTTCTGGTTTTGATTTATTTTGTTTTTGTTTCAAGTTGCCTATCCTTAGAACTTTCTCAGGCAAACTGGGAAAAATGGTTGGCTCAAGGTTTGAAGTTGTTCGGCCCTGAGGAAGAGAAAATTGATACAACGATTTTTTGTTCCATTTTTGTTTCAATCTGTTTCGGTTTTGTTTTGTGTTATCTTATTGGGTTGCATTATCTTTATAGTAGATTAAAAATTAGTAAAAAACAAACTGAAAGAGTGTTAAGTAAATTGTTAGAGGTTCAGATCATGGAGAAAGACATTTTAGATCAAGCAAAAGAGAAGGTCTCTCGAGCTAGTCAGACAGAGGAAGAAAATTTAAAGGAAAAGGGGCTATTAGGGAAAAAGCTACAACAGGAGGCTGCTAATAACACTGTTCTATCACCAGAGGATGTAATTCAACCAACAGCTCCACCTATAGAGACAGCTGAGTGGCCCTCATCCCCCGTAGTAAATAGATGGAATCCTGAGACAGGACCTCAAAGATTAGCATGCCCTGTACTTGACCAGACAGGAGGGCAGCGAATTCACCACGCTCTAGATTTCAAAACAGTGAAGCAGTTAAAGGAGGCTGTAACAACCTATGGCCCTCAAGCACCCTTCACTGTAAGCATGGTCGAATCCATTACCAACTTGGACATGACGCCAGCAGACTGGGCTAGCATGTGTAAATCTGTGCTAAATGGAGGGCAATATTTGTTATGGAAGGTTGCCAATGAGGAATTTTGCACGGAGACGGCTAGGCAAAATACAGCAGCCGGTTACCCTCAAAGAAATCTAGATATGTTGTTAGGAAAAGGACCTTATGAGGGTCAACGGCAACAAATTGAATATGATCCTGCTATATATGCACAAATTGCTGCAGACGCAGTTAGGGCATGGAAGACTTTACAAGGACATGGAGATTTACAAGGTCAATTACCTAAGGTAATACAGAGAGCTAATGAACCTTATGCTGAATTTGTAGATAGGCTTATTCAAACAGCTGCCAGAGTTTTGGGGGATACAGAACAAGCAATGCCATTAATAAAACAACTGGCTTATGACCAAGCAAATCGTTGCTGCAGAGAGGTCATTAGACCATGGAGACATGAAGATTTAAACACATATATTAAATTATGTAGAGACATTAATGAACAAGGGCAAGTCTTGGCAGCTGCAGTACAATAGGCTTTAGATGCCAGGCCAAAAACATGCTACAGTTGTGAACAAACAGGACATTTTAAAAGGAATTGCCCCATAGGAGGAGGGTTTAACAAAACTAGGTATCAAAGGAATAGAATACCGGGTATTTGCCCACGATGCCATAGAGGGAGACATTGGGCTAATGAATACCATTCTCAAACCACCATAGAGGGTACTCCATTATCAAAAAATGGACAAGGACCAGGTGTTTACCCATGATATCGTGGAGAAAAGCATCGGGCTCCATTGCCAAAAAAAGGACTGGGGGGCCCAATGCTCCAGGGCCCACAAGCACAAATATACGGGGCACTGGAGGAACCCAGCAACACCATCAGGGTAGTGCCCAGGACACATTATCCATTAAATCCCTCATCAGACAAACCAGAGGGAGCACAGGGTTGGACATCTGTGCCTCCGCCAGAGCAGTACTAACTCCAGAGATGGGAGTTCAAATCATTCCCACAGGAGTAAAAGGAACAGTAGGCTTATTATTGGGACGCAGTTATTCTACACTAAAAGGACTTATGATAAGTCCTGGGGTAATTGATCCCGATTATGTAGATGAAATAAAAATTACACCTAGTTCTCCAAGAGGTATATCAGTAATTTCACCAGGAGATAGAATAGCACAGTTATTAATAATACCCAGCCTGCATGATAAATTTTCCAGTCGTACTGTAGAAAGAGGTTACAGGGGATTAGGCTCCACAGGTATAGATTGGGCTATGCTGTCTGTAAATTTAGATTCCCACCCAATGCTGAAACTAAATATTCAAGGACATGAATTTAATGGGCTATTGAACACAGGTGCAGACCATAGCATCATATCTCCTCAAGAATGGCCAAAACATTGGCCATTACAACAAGCCACTCAAATGCTTCAAGGCCTAGGAGTGGCGACTAATCCCCATAGAAGTGCAATGGTATTAGATTGGAAGGATCCTGAAGGATGTGAAGGAACTATACAGCCATATGTATTGGATCATCTTCCTATAAATTTATGGGGACGAGATGTCCTAGATCAATTAGGTTTGACATTAACAAACAACATCAATCCTAATGCGCCCACTACTAGGGCTGGACAAGGTTTTAGGAAAGAAAAAAGATTAGGAGAACAAGAACAAAGTATAGCAGCACCAATTCAAATAGATCAAGGAATAAATAGACATGGATTGGGTTTTCAGAAGGGGCCACTAAGACAATCAAAATTACTTGGAAATCAGAAAAACCAGTATGGGTTCCTCAGTGGCCCCTGACTAAAGAAAAGATACCAGTAGCCCATGACCTGGTCAAACAACAATTAGCAGAGG